ACTGGAGTATTTTCCTTCTCAAGTTAGAATAAACAATCTATGTTTCCATCAGGCTAGCTTGCCTTTCTTGGCAAGTTTGCCCTCTCCAACTTTTATTCTCGGCCCTTCCCTACCCTGATGGTCCTCATAGTACTGCCAACCTCACAGTGAGAATGGAGAAAGAGGAGACCTCTAAATGTTTTTCATTACCCACATCTTAATTTCTTTGCGATTCAAAGAAGGGACATTTTGACAAGTTTTATCTCTTCCCTTAATACAAGCAATGTGATTTTCTCCTCAGAGACAAATGATCTAGATTGTCTGGGATTCTTTTTCTTCGGTATAAAATAAAAGGGCTGGACTACATGTTTTCTGAGGTCCTGCTCACTTTTAACTTTTTGACCTAAGAAATGGCTTTTTAATATAAGTGGCAGAGAAAGGTGGAACCATGATGCATGTCATCCTGGTGACAAGTGTGTGTGGTACAAAGAATCCTAGACTAGGAATCGACGTCCTTGTAGTGTAAACTAACAGCTGCTGTTAACTGCGGTTGAGTCAGTCCCCGACTCACGGCAACAGAAGGAAACACTGCCAGGTCCTGTGCCTTCCCCATGACAGGTTGCATATTGGACTGTTGTGCTGCGTCGTTTTCACTGGCTGATTTTCAGAAGTAGATCCCTAGGCCTTTCTTCTTAGTCTGTGTTAATCTAGAAGGTCCACTGAAACCTGTTCAGCATCATAGCAACATACAGGCCTCCACTGACAGATGGGAGGTGGCTGTGTGTGCGGTGCATTGGCGGGGAATCAAATCTGCACCTCCTTCATGGAAGGCAAGAATTCTGTCACTGAGCCACCACTGCCCCCAAAGTAGCAGTGGGACCTTCTTTCACCACTCCAAAGCAATGTACATGAAAGTGTTTTGAAAATAAAATCTTATATAAAAATCAGGGGTTGCAATTAGAACAGAAAAGTGGCTCCCTCAGAAATCATTTATCAGCCTGTGGGTTTTAGGTGTCTGCTCAGCTTAAAGTACAGCTACATACAATTTTTTTTTCCCCATCCAATCCCAGCAGCTGCTCTGGAATTAAAATTTGTCAAAGGTAGCAGCAAGACAATAGTAATATACTAGTGGGAGACGCCATGGTTTTTTAAATCAGCTAAAAAGAGCAACTGCTGAAAATGATGGCTTGGTTTGAAAGACATTTTGGTGTTAAAGAAAAAAAAAAAAAAGGTCTGTTTTCCAGTACATTCCTGCGGAGAGTGCTCCAAGCCAAAGTCATGGTGTTTCATATTCATGCCTTAGTCCTGCCTCTGAGCTGCAGTGTAATCTTAGAAAAATGGCTAAATCCCTTGGGTCAAGTTCTCCCAATTACAAAACGGATAAATAACAGATGCTCAAAGAGTCTTCACATATTTCACTGCTAGTTAGGAAGTTAAAGGTAATTTATTAAAAACATTTGTGAAAGCTCTTTAAGCATTTCAGATGAAAGATACCATAATGTATCCAAGGCACTCCATCTGGCGTTACATACTTGGAATGCCTTAAGTGGTGTTTGTAAATAAAATCTTAGAAATGTGTTAGGGAAGAGGTATGAAATGCCTTTATAAAATGAAGGCTCCTTTTTAAACTCCCAAGTTGGTTCAACGTGTAAACCTATATTTTCAAAATTAGGTTTTCTAGAAGCATAGACCGCCAGCAGGGCTATTTACATTGAGCACATGGAGCTATTTAGAGATTAGCAGCTTGAGCTGACTTCGTGTATGTGTGACAGTTTAAGCAGTGCCGACTACTTTACGGAACGAGAACCTAATGGAGAGCCTCTAACTTTGGGGAAAAGATGCATCCCCCCGGAAATTTCAAAATACTGGGTGTTAAAGAATAACCAGGAAAATCACAAACAAGCTGACGTTTCTCAAGATCACTTTCAAAGTCTATAGTTTACTAAGAGAAATATACTCATCGTATAAATAAAAAGGACAGTTATACTATTCCAAGATTTATTTCTTGCTGCAAAAGAAACAATCAAGGGAAAATGCCCTCTATCACATCATTATTAATACAATTCACCCTAAGAATAGAATAAGGTGTAATAATAAAGGGTTAATGGGGTGTGATTAATAACAAAGAAATGTTCTAGGGAAACTGCAGACCTGCTTGAAAAGTATAGTAATCTTTCCTCTTTGATTTTTTGAGGTTCTTACCGTCTGTATAACTCATTTGGCATAGGTGAATTGTCTTATATCTTTCCATACATATATTTCTTGCCTGTACAATAGGAAGTGAGCTTCTGGCGGGAGGTTCCCGGTGACCCTAAGCCCAATGTCTTGTACATAACCCAGGAACATTAACCATTGACTGACAGGGAGGAGCCTGGTGAGATACACTTAAAACCTTTATTCATTGATTTACAAAATGTACAATATTTACAAAATTTAGGCATTAATCTCATACTGACATGAAAATGCTGAGGAATCTAAAAATAAATACGTGGTACAGAGGTTAATATACACAACGCTGCCCTTTGCACTTCAAGCCTCCATCAATGTGGAACTTAACTGGAGGTTAAATGTGGTTGATAGGTTAGATGGCTGACCGGTCCTCAGCCTTCCATATCAACAGCCCTCCTTGGCTCCTTGAGGCCAGGGATGGCAAACAAACCACTTTCTTGAGAGAGAATTAAACACAAGCCATTCTGGAAGACCCACTGGATACTTGCAGCAACATCTGTGCAGTCTGCAGTAACGGGCGCAATAATGGGTGATGGATGAATCCACACCATTGTCAACCTGCTCCCTGCACATGGCCAGGGAGGCTTTGGTGGGGTCTCTTTCTCATTAAGAACCAACATTTGGACTTTGTCTCTTATTCAAATAGCATGCAGTACTTGGAAGATGTTCATGGAGAATGACCATGCACAAAACTGGTACTTGTAGACATGTACATCGAAATTTCATTATATCTTATAGCATCTTGAGATGCAGGATCAACCTGTCTCCTCTTTTAGCAAGAGGGATGAATGAGGAAGCCATACCCTGAGCCCCCAAAGAAAAAATATCACCTGGGGACACACATAAAGAGCATCCTGCAAAAGCAGGACTAGAGAAACTCCACATGGTAAGATGGACAAATTCCCATGAAGTCAGGCCTGGAAGCTTTCCTAGGGATGCTAATTCCACCTTCCCTTCCTCTTCAATCCCAGCTCATCCCACATAACCTAAATCTGAAAGAAAAGTCTTCACGTTATTGAGCTTCTATGAGCCTCAGTACCTTCACCTGTGAAGCATAAATACTAGTAATATTCCTCATAGAGTTCTTGTGGGAATTGTATGACCTAACCTACGTAAAGTGCTTAGCATAGTGCCTGGCACATAGGAGGTGCTTCAAAAATGTCTTGCTTTCTCCCCCTCTACTCCCCACCCCCTATTATAAACAACATATTAATAAGCCTACCAACCTCTGAATTAAGGCCGTCTGACGCAATTTAGATTATTTTGTATCAGAGATACCGAAGTCAATTCATATTTAGTCCCTGAGAAGGTCTCATTTTATGAGCCAGAGACTTTTCCTGTACAGGGCAGATGACCCTAACAACACTGGCCTCTTTCTCAGCAATGGCTCCACTGAGTTTCATGCATACACTCATACCAGTGATGATCACCTCCTGAATACTTCTAGACCACCACCACTGAGGAAACCATGAACAAAAACCTCGAGGCAAACACATTACTCTCACTCATGATATAAGTTAACTTTTTTCAACACTGGTGCTAGTATTATAGATAACTTTTAACAAACATATATTACAAGCTCTACCACTGTTGAAAATAAGTATTCTAATTTGATCATCTTGTTCAGAATAAAGAATTTTTTACAATATATTTTAGTTTCTAGTATGCCATATAAAAATAAATATTGTATAAATGATTTACAAGGAAGAAGAAAAAAATAGTAACTTGGGGCACCAAAAAAATAGGAAGGATGATGAAAATTTCACCAACTACTTCAAAAGCAAGCATCTAAAAGAACCAAAACATCCCGCTGCAAAGTCGACTGGGTCTCCTTACTAGCATTGTCATCCTCCCACAGGTCCACCTACATCTCACCTTAGCATATTATGTCTTCTTCCTCTGTCAACTGCGAGACAATTCAGGCAGAACATGTTCCCTAAAGTCACTGGGGATTTGGAATTAGAACAAGGAAGGCTCTTGGGCAATATAAGCTCCAGATGGAGGAAGAAGCCAGCTGAACCACTTACTGTGCCTTTACTGAAGACCAACCTCCACACATCTCCTTCCTTTCATTCCAGAAATCCTTTCTTTGTGTAGATTAACAATGCCTGGAGAGAACCCCACCTCCAGAAAAAATACCCCATTCTGTTTTGGGACTCTTAGAACAATGGCTACATCTAAATGTTCAGGTGGAATCCAGTCTCTTAGGGAGCATAATTAGTTGCCAAGTCAAGGCTACTCTCACCAATTATACGAAGGGATCAAGCTAGCCACTTTATGGATTCTACTATGTTGGGGAAAATCCTTCTCCAGCCATTGCTTAACCATACACCAGACTTCTATGATTACCTTTTATCTCCCACATAGAGCAGAAGAAATATTAATCCCACCATTGGAAGAAGAATGGTGGGAAAAATAAATTGGACAAATGGCTTACTATCTTCCAGGGACTCAATCAGCATCTCCAAGGAAAGAGTCCATCCATTTTGGAATAAACGTTTTAAAATTCTAAAGCTATAAGTGAATTCATGATTGTATTAAAACCAATGGTTCTTTATCTTTTTCCTAAAAACATACATCTATGTGTGTCCATATAACATATCGCCTAACATCTCAGAGGATCTCAAGCCCTCCTGCAGCTCATGCTTGTGTTCCAAATGAAGAACCCCAGATCTCAGTAAATGCGCAACTATTTCTTGGAGCATAAACAAAGATTTGGTTGAGAACTCAGGGTCTGTATTGGGGGTAGGCTGGGTTTGATGGGGTTTTGGTTAGACTCAAAATGGCCATACTGAAGCAAGGGTTGTTCCTAATGGTAAGTGGTAATGCTTGGCCGTGACGACATCCTTAAATGTTGTGGTCTCTCACATGTAACTACTGTCAGGCCAACGATTCATGCATGAATATGGACCAGCGAGATTCCCTTGGATGGCTACTATACACAGCACCCTGGAGCTGTTATAATGTGAGTCCCAACCATACCCACAAGCAGGATACTATCACTGACATGCAGTGTGGGTACCCATTAGTCTGATTTATGGGTGATGTTGTGGCAAATGTGGCTTCAGTTTCATTTCGGGGGAGTGGCAAGTTACAGATATTTCCTTCACAACAGGAAGTGCAGACCTGAAAGAAAGGAAGAGAAAAAGAAGGGTGATGAGAAGTTGGCAGGTTTTGGAAGGAGGAAGGAGTTCTTAAAGGAACCATCTACCTCACAGCGAGACTCAAATGAAAATTATCTGTTTTACAAAGGAGATATCAACCCTGCATTTGTGGGCAGTGGGATGCCATTTTATCTGGAAGCAACAAAGTCAAAATGAAAATTCCCTAGACTAAACTTCAAGGGTTCTCTTTTTGACAACTCTACCATGTGGTTTCTACAAAGTGTCGCAACCTTCCTAGGACTCTACTACTCCATCTGTGAAATGGGGATTATAATACTTGCCCTACTTTTTAAAAGAGGTTCTTTCTGACTACTTAAGGAAGCTGTTAAAAGGGAAAACTTTCATTTGCCAGGTTTCCACAGTGAGAATGAAGTGGCAACAACTCAGATAATTTAAATTTGAATATTCACTTTCGTTAGAACTGTTTGCATAATTATCTCTAATCTCATGACCAAGTTTAAATTTAAAGAGTTTTCATTTATGCAGTTACCAGCTATCAGGTGGTATTGACTAGATTCTGACTCACGGGGACCCCATGTGTGTCAAGTAGAACTGTGCTCCATAGGGTTTTCAATGGCTGTGATCGTTCAGAAGTAGATCGCCAGGCCTTTCTTCCAACGTGCCTCTGGATGGACTCAAACCTTTTGGTTAGAAGCTGAGCATGTTAACTGTTTGTATTATACTGTTTTACTCAGGGATCACAGTAAAGAAATAAAGCCAAACATGTAGTCAGTCTACAGACCCCAGTTTTGGCAGCAGTTAGGAGCTTGTTAGAAATACAGAATCTCAAGCCCCATACTAGACCTACAGAATCAGAATCTGCATTTTAACAAAATCCCCAGCAGGGGTTCATATGCACAATAAAGTCTGAAAAGCTCTATAATGGGTAATATCCTATGCAGTCATTGTCCTGCAGGATTTGAGTCTGTGGTCACAGTTGACACTGGCTAGGAAGACAGTGTAACACTGAAGAGACAGATTGAAGGTCAGGAGATTGGATTCTGTCTCTGTCAGTTAGTAGCTGTGTGACCTCAGCACAGGACATAACCTCTCTAATCCTCAACTTCCTCCCCAGTAAAGTACCCTGAGTAATGCCTGAGAGCCAAGCCCAGCTTGCTGGGGGTTCAAGGAAATCCCTGGGTTTTACTCTTCATATTTCAAGCCAGGAACAAGTAAGCAGATCATATTTTAAAAGTTAATTCTCAGTATATTTAAGACATTGCTTGAAAACTAGGTTTTGGCTTTCTTAAGACTTAGCCTCTGCTGACAGTGTTACTCCAAGGTACTGAGAGTGGCAGTTGCCCCAACCACCAGGAAGGCAGCCTGATGTGGTGAAGCGGGCAGACTCTAAATAAAGACCGAGGCCTGATATAAAAGATCATACACTCAGCTAGCTCTGAAGCACCAGCAAGAGAATCAGCTGTATTCCCCGCTCCAATCACAAGTCAGATGGCCTTTCTCTAATTCTTTGTATTCTCCTTCAGGGTTGCCCTCAAAATTCATTTTGCACTGAGTGCTTCTGTGTATAAACACCAGATGAAGTCTGAGGAGAGCCAATGCACAAGGAGATGGTTCTCTTGTGACCTCCTCAAATGCCTCAGGAGCCACCAGATGCTTTCCCCAAGTCAGCATCCTGATAGAGACACGAGCCCCCACTTTACAGAAAGTTCTCAAAGCTAAATTGCCTGAGCCACGCTCAGCTGCATGAATTGCTGGGACATCTGCAATGCTTTCCCATGACGCACTCATGGCCCCTCGCTCCTCCTTCTTCTAGTACCTTTATTCCTTCTTATTGTGTGAAGAAAGGATGTACAATAATTTTCATTACCTTCTTCATGTGGAAACCCTGGTGGGATGGTGGTTAAGTGCCATGGCTGCTAACCAAAAGGTCAGCAGTTCGAATCCACCAGGCACTCCTTGGAAACTCTATGGGGGAGTTCTACCCTGTCCTATAGGGTCACTGTGAGTCGGAATTAACTCAATGGCAACGGGAACAGATTTCTTCGTGTGTGTTTACACAATTTACATGAGTTATCCTATGCCCTGGTATAAATTTATATTCTTTCAGAGCAAACAGAAAAGGAAGCATTTTTACATATGGTATAAAGACAGTTAAAATCCAGCCTGCATCAGGGAGTGAGCCTTTGCTCACGGCACTGACAGGCATCAAAAGTGGAGAAAGGCTGACTAGGATGTACCAGTCACTTGCTTTGTTTCCCAGACCTTGTGGCCTTCATGCTCGGAGTCTCTGCAGCCAGTGGACAAGCACTCTTCCAGCGGTACGCAGCGTTTGGTGACAGAGATGCTGTTTCCTGTGACTTCCATCGTGTGCTGAGTATAGCAGTATCTGGTCTCTGTCAACAGAGAAAATATTTTTTTTATTTGAGATGGAAAATGTTAGTCCAACTTGCCTAAAAGGAAAACAACAGGGACGTCAACACTACAATTCCTGAAAGGATCTAACAGCACATGGGATGTACACTGGGTCAAGTTTATGTCCAATCCCCCAAAGAGCTCCTTACCGTGGAAGGAGGATAGCATTTGGAAGAATATTGGTCTCTCTGCCATCCTAATCACAATAAACAGACACACAGTGGTATCACTCTTTGCCTTTTAACAAATTTTGCCACTGTACTAATGTTTCTTTTTTGGAGTGAGAGGTTTGGTGGGATGATTTAGGTTGTGAGATTCAGAACAATTTTCAGGGGCCTGAAGGGGTGGAAAAAGTTAGAAGAATACATGATTAAAGAAGTTTGGCAGGTAAATGATTGTCAAGGAGGTAAAAGACCACAGCAAAGGCTGGTGTGTGTGTCTCTGTGTGTTATTATTGTTCGTTTATTTTGGGGAAACAACTATTCCCAAGTAAGGGCAGAACAATTGCAAAGAGATTCATTTTATCTGGAGAAAATCATTTTTATCCAAAATTAAAAACTTCTTGCCAATGAGCATAGCCGCAGCTTAGAATTCATTACAGAAAAAGACTAAACTAACAACGTAGGCTTTCCAGAATCCAGGGGCTTCTTCTCTGCCTAGCGTGACTTCAGTGTCTTTCTACATGATAGCAGATGAAGACCATGATGCGGGTCCCTAGAGGTCCCTCTAAGTCTTGCGTGGTCTGAACACTCACAATTTCTTCCAATATTCCGTAGAGAATTTTTTAATTTTTAATTTAAAAACTAAAGAAAAATGACATTGTGAATGTAATTTTTTAAGGCCTCCAGGCAGTGTTCAGCTATCTAAGCCTGGGATTTAGGAGAATGTTCCTGCTCCATTTTCACATTAAAAGAGAAAATGAATAATTCTTAGGAAATGTCGCTGAGCTGTTTTTCATCCATATCTTGGATCCAACTTTGCATGCTTTATACATTTTAGCAATTTAGTGGCTAATATGGAATTATGACCTTCTATGATATTATTTATTAGGCAATAAAAATTCCCCCCACCAGATTCTGTCATGATTTTGGCAGGTTCTAACTTGAGTAGTGATATCCAAAGAAAAAAGCTTAAGAATTTTAGGCCTTGATAGTGAGTTAATACAGACCACATTGATAGATTTTTAGAGTCATGAAAATTCAAGGGTTTTAATAAACTTCTTAGGAATCCTTGGGTGGTACAAATGGTTAATGTGCTCAGCTGCTAACCGAAAGGTTGGAGGTTTGAGTCCACTCAGAGATGCCTCAGAAGAAAGGCCTGGTGATATACTTCTGAAAAATCAGCCATTGAAAACCCTATAGAGCACAGTTCTACTCTGACACACATAGGGTTACCCTGTTGCCATGAGTCAGAGCTGACTAAAAAGCAACTGGTGTTTTGGGACCAGGGGGGTAATAAACTTCTTAGACACTCTCACCTGACAGGAATCCTGAATGGCTTCCGAGTGAGTCTTCCCGAGGGCAGCAACTTTCCCAATGGTGACACTACTGGTAGGTGTGACTGGGCAGAATCTATGGCAATGCCCTCCTCCTAAATGCCATCCTATACTCCACCCTGTCAGAATTTTGTCAGCCGGAATCAGGTCAAGGCAGTCCCTCGCTTGCTATGGAGCTCTTTGGGAGTGAGGTAAGTAAGGTCGCCCAATGAACACACAAGAAAAGTTGAAAGTTTTGCGCTTGGCAATGATTCTCCCAGAGCCCCCAAACAGTTTCAAACTGGAGTGATTGTTCTTGTGAGGAAGAGGTGGCAGCTATCCTCTGATTATTATTTTTTTAAAGCCTTTGGCAGGTTTGACAAATGGAGGCCAGTGGCCTGAGAGATTTAACACATCTTCCGAAGAGGACTGGTTTACTTCTTTGGTATCAGACTTGATGGGCATTTATGGCCACAATAAGTACACCTTTGTCACCCCCACCCCATCTTCAAATGTTCAAGACAGCAATAAAACCAGGAATGTTCTTATCTCCTGTCCCCTCTTCATGCGATAACCAGGAGCAGCTGCCAGCCTTTTTATTGCTCCAAATGTAAATCTGAGCAGATAAGATCATACGTTTATGGAATAAGTAAATCACTACATGGTTGCAGTTTGGGAAATTAGACTTGCCTTCCAAATAGTGAATTATCTTGTTTCGAATAAGCCTTAAAATAACAACTGGTGAGCTTGATATAACTACTTTTTGTTCATACTTTTCGGTCGATAACAAACCCTCTAATTTATTATTGAGGAGCTTATTCCATTGAACAAAAGAAAGAAGGCAACAATTGATGAAAACATCTTTTCAGAAAATATGCACAACTCTGGTACCTAACAAGCCAATTCTTGCTGTTCTTGGTAGGGGTGGAGGTCAGTGATGTGGCTGGATAAGATTTTGTTCTTATGCTTCTCCAAGTCCAATCCATGTAACAAAGACATTGAGGACACCCCTTCCTTCCAGCAGCAGAGCCCTCATTTCTGAAGCATCAATTTCTCACAAGTCTCCATCCCACCTTTTATCTTACAAAACCCCTAGGTGGGTTATGAAATGTTAATGTGGAAAAAAAGTTTTGTGGTTAAGTTTTGGAAATGCTGAAATAAAGTAAAATGGGTTTCTTTCAGTGCACAACTTATGAGAGCCTTGAGTATGTACTGTGATCTCCAAGAGTGGGACAGAGAAGACAGACTCCCAAGCAGAACGAGGAGGACCTCATGTGGCTTATCACCGGGCTGTAGTGTTGATAGAAACTGAGTTTAAGCCACCAGCACTGCTCTCCATGCATTCTGAATAATCCTTGAGTTAGTAATGAGGTTATATGAGAAACCAGCCTGCTGATAACTTCACACTAAAAGGATTTCAAAGGCTTTTATCTAAAAGATAAAAGATGGATTTGAATTTCTACCAGGTTAGTTTTGACCTCGAAAATCTCATATTCTGCCACTGCATGATATCCCTAGAGGTTGTGAAACCAAAGTCGTTTAAGACACACGGGCACTCAATGAAAAGCAGCACTGGGAAAGAGATCCGAATTGACTATTGAAAAATACAAAATCTAATTTTTATGAAATTCACAATACACGTATTCTATAACCTAGTTCTGTAATTAAAAAACAAGGCTCAAAGCTAAAATGTCCATTTACATTTACCCACCAATATCCAGTTTCTAATAACAGGAACTGTATTTAAACAAAATCTACATAAAATGATTTGATTTAAAATTATACATTAAAAACGACCAGCTCTATGGTAAAAAGTTTTCTTGACACTTGGTTATTCTCCGTGGCTGTGCTACTTTTGGTTTCTTACAAACATATATCACGATTAAGTGATGTCGGGGTACAAGTGACCAGGTGCAAGACAATTAATGGCGGGGAAATAACTTTAATAATAATGTTACAAATTGTACTGAAAAATAACACCTGCATACTCACTGTCCCAATTCCTGGCTGTATAGTCAGCCCTTCCCATCATGCTGTGCTACTTCCAGATTGTCATGTACAATGCCTTTAACTCAAGTGTTAAACTCAAGGCCTTTTCTCAAGTCTGACCCCAGCGGAAGGATCTCTTTGTAGCAGGGTCTCTGTTGTTGTTAGTTGCTATCGAGTAGGCTCTGACTCACGGCAACCTCATGTACAACAGAATGAAACATTGCCTGCTGCTACACTCGAGTCCACTGTTGTGGCCACTGTGTTTTGAGGGCCTTTCAACCTAGGGAGCTCGTCTTCTACACCATATCAGACAATATTCTGTTGTGATCCACAGGGTTTTCATTAGCTTATTTTCAGAAGTAGGTCTCCAGGCCTTTCTGGTCTGTCTTAGTCTGAAAACTCCAGTGAAACCTGTCCACATGGGTGACCCTCCTGGTATTTAAAATACCAGCGGCATAGCTTCTAGCATCATAGCAACACGAAAGTCACCACAGTATGACAAGCTGACAGACACATGGTGGCACAGGACTCTACTACTCATAACCACCTTGTGAAATTTCCCCATCCTTGACTTTGCGGTTTTGTGTTCTTCTAGTTTTTCTCTTGCACCTCTGGCCTCTTCTCTTCAGATACTCTCCCTGGCTTGAATGTCAGTGTTCTCCTATGTTCTGTCTTTGAAGCTCTTCTCACTCTATATACCCTCTCAAGTGACCTCACCCAAACCTCCTACACCACATCTCCAATCTGATTCTCCTGAGCTATAGAAATAACTTTCTATCTATCTCCTGGATGTCACCAGCAGCACCTCACAGTTAATGTGCCTCAAACCAAACATATCACCTCT